GCTTAAAAAGACCCCAACAAAACTCTGTGCCCCTTTGCAAATAAAATCACTGTCTACCCCCAGTGCCTGCAAACTACTGGTCACTTATTTTTGTTTCTGTAATTTGCCATTTTTAGACTGTCTTAAATGGAATCATATAGTGTGTTGGAGAATCTAGCTTTTCTCACTCAGCATAATATATCTGAGATTCACCCCTGTTGTTGAGTGAATCAATTGCTCATTCCTGTTTATTGCCATGTAGTATTCTATTCCATGATTACACCACAATTTGTTGATACAATTTCCTGTTGAAGAACAGAAGACGAAGAACCGAAGATTTGGGGCTGGGTGTGGCAGCTCACACCTGTAATCCCAGCACTTTGGGAGGCCGAGGTGGGTGGATCGCCTGAGGTCAGGAGTTCGAGACCAGCCTGGCCAACATGGTAAAACCCTGTCTTTACTAAAAATACAAAAAACTAGCCAGGTGTGGTGACACGCATCTGTAATCCCAGCAACCGAGGAGTCTGAGGCAGGAGAATTGCTTGAACCCAGGAGGCAGAGGTTGCAGTGAGCCCAGATTGTGCCACTGCACTCCAGCCTGAGTGACAGAGTGAGACCCTGTCTCAAAAAAAAAAAAAAAAAAAAAAGATTTGGATCATCTCCAGTGTTTTGCTTTAATGAGTAATGCTGCTGAGAACACTCATTGTATGTCTTTCTGTAGACATACATATTTCTCTTGCATAAATAACTAAGAGTGGAAACAACAGATTGTATGGTAAGTCCGTATTTAATTATGTAACAATACCAAGCCGTCAGCTTCAGAAGCAGCATCATTTTGCACTCTTATTAAAAGAGCACAGAGTTCCAGTTGCTCCATCTCCTCACCAACATCTGACATTGCCAGTTTTTCCAATTTTAGCCATTTTAGTGGGTGTGAAGAGAAATTTTATTATAGTTTTAATTCAAATTTCCCTAATGACTAATGATGTTGAGCACCTTTGCATGTGCTTCTTGGCCAGTTGCATTGGATTCCTCTAATTGTAGAAATACCTGCCTGTAAGAGAGACACTCACGAAGGGGGTGGAAACCTCTTTCTTTAAAGATACATTTTATTTCTTAATACGTAATAACAATTCAACAACAGACATTATTCCAGAAGGATCAAGTGAAACAAAAATTATGGTTTTGAAATGTCAAAACCCATAAACTCTTGGGTTCAAAGTAATTAGCTATGTGTCTTTGGACAAGCTACCCAGCCTCTCAATTTCCTCATTTCTAAGGTGAGAACAACGTTAGTAACTACCCCAGAATGTTATGAGATTTAAAGGACTTTACTACAGTGCTTGGAGGATTGTTATTGCTCAGTAAATGTTAACAACAATAATAATAATAATATCAATAATTGGCTCAGTTGTTACATACTTCGATATTTAAAAAAACCTATAAAATAGCATAAGCTTCTGTCCACACAAAATTTTGCACACAAGTGTTTATAGCAGCTTTTTAAATAGCTGACAAAAGCTGGAAGTTACCAAGATGTTCTTCGGTAGGTGAATAGATAAACTGTGTTGTAGCCATATGATATTATTTAGCAATGAAAAGAAATGAGCTATCAAGATATGAGAAGACATGGAGAAACCTTAAATGCATATTGCTAAGTGAAAGAAGCCAATCTGAAAAGGCCACATCCTGTATGATTCCACTATATGACATTCTGGAAAGGACAAATCTTTAGACGGTGAAAAGATAAGTGATTGCCAGAGGTTAGGGAGGAGGGAAGGATGAATAGACAGAACTCGGAGGATTTTTAGGGCAGTAAAGCTGCTCTGTATGATACTGGAGTGGTGGATACATGACATTATGCATTTGGCAAAGCCCATGTAATGCACCTCACTAAATGTGAACCTTAATGTGAACTGTGGACCTTAATTAAAAATAATGTATCAATATGGGCTCATCAGTTGTAACAAATGTACCACACTGAGGCAAGATATTAAAAATAGGGGAAACTAAGCAGGGGAGCAGGGAGATGAAGTGTTTCAGAGCTTTCTGTACTTCTCAAATGTTCTATAAACCTAAAACTGCTCTAAAGAATAATCTATTAATAAAAAAGCAAGTGAAGAAAAAAAAAACATTTTTACTTGAAAATGTTTAAATTAAATGTTTCTTCTTAGTTTGAATCACGTTTTTCCCGTGTGTGTGTGTGTGTGCGTGTGTGTCGTAAACTTTAACCTAAAGACAAATTATGAGATAGTTTTTATTTTCAAACCAGCGAGAATGCAACAGGTATGTGGGTGATCATATTTATATCTATATCATCTATAACTCTCTATATCTATATCTATCATCTATCTCTATCTAATCTCTCTATCTTCGTGTTGTAGTTCAGTATAGCCCACATTTTAATGAGCAGAGGAGTCATTGGGCATCCTGTTAAAATGTGGACACCAATTAAGCAGGTCTGGGTGGGGTCTGAGATTCCATATTTCTAACGAGCTCTCAGGGATGCCACTGATGCTGGTCCACAAACATTTTAAGTAGCAAGTGTGTAGACAAAAGCAACTGAGTGTGTGGAGCCTGACTCAGGTAGGGAACGTTATGTCATCATCTCAGCCAAGCCCTAGCACCGAATGTGTCTGTTTGTCTGCTGTGTGGAAAGACTGCAGACTGTAACTTCAGTAAGATTTGTCTAAGTACCGAAGACTTTGCCCATAAGAACTGGTTTGCAAGCCCAGCTATTACTTTTTTTGGACCTTACCACAGTCAGTTAGGGCCACAGTAATGCTGAGTAACAAACCACTTAAAAACTCAGAGGATTAAAATGAGCAGAATTTATTCTCATGGGTCTACATGGTAATTTCCTGCTTGGCTGATTTAGGTCAGCTCCACGCGTGTCTCGTCCTCCCTGGACCAGCAGCTCCCTAGGGCATGATCTTGTCATGGCCATGGCAGAAGCACAAGCATGAAAGCCCCACTGCACAAGGACATTTCAAGCCTCTGCTCACATCATGTCCGATAACATCCCGCTGGCCAAAGCAACCCCCACGGACACAGCCACCTTCATAAGGGTGGGGAATTTTGCTCCACTTACAGTGAAGCCATGGAAAGGTTATGGATGAATAATCCTACTACAGGTGTAATGGATTAAGACCTGTAATTTGACCTATCACAGTCTTTGCATCAACAGAGTAAGAGGTGAAATTCTACTTCGATAAGAGCCTCACCCACAGTAATACATGCCATTCCCTGAAGCCATATGAAATACAAAAAAATTGTTCACCACTGCCTCTGAACAGGTTTCCTGTTGCTGCTGTCACTGCAGTCAAGCTACAGGACATTCCCATTATACTGGAAAGTCCCTGAAAATCCCCCAACCCTCCGTCCCAGGCAACCATGAATCTGCCTTCTGCCTTCTATCATTATAGATTAGTTTGCTTCTTCTAGAACTTCATAGAAATGGAAGCAAATGGTATGTAGTCTTTTGTGTCTTCCTGTTATATGCTGTTTGAGTCCATTTATTTTCTGATGTAATGGGGCCAGAGACATGCCATCCTAAAGCAGATTTTGGTGATCCTTGGGTATGGCAGGCATTACTGATGCACCACCCATACCCTGCCCCCAACACAGTGGTGCCCACAGCCTGGCTCCCAGCTGGCTGCACTTGCCCCAGGGCTTTCTCTGGCCATTGACACCTGCCTTGTTCCCATCTCTGCATGCTGGAATTAATGTCCTGGGAGCAGTGGCTGATGGAGTGGGTGGATAAGTCCCAGCTCCTTTGTCCCTCATGGGAGTGGGGTTAACTTGTCTTACATGAGTTTCCTAGAGTTTTCCTGCAAGATTAAACTCCAGTGGCCCAGGGTAACTTCTTGAGTACACACCCTCTATTGGCTGGTTTCCCTTCTCCATCTCACTTCTGCATTCCCCCAACTTTATTTCACAAATAAACTACTTTGAATGCATATCTCAGGTTCTCTGTCTGGGGGCAGACAAAAAAGATTCCAGGAAATGATGTAAGTTTCAGACAGGAGGCTGCTGGCTGTTGAGTGTACAGAATGGGGATCCTGACATGCTACCTCACTGTCTTCTTCCCTAAGCAGTTATTATCATCTCTTCTCATAGTTGAATTTTTAAACTTGTATGCATCTTCTCTTGCCCATGTTTTGAGTTTCTGGGAGCAGGGATCATGTATCTGCCCTTCTCTGTATCCCATGCAGGCTCCAGCTCATTATGTTGGGCAGGATTGGTACTTACCAACCCACAATTGAACCATCAATCCTGTGAGTATTTCTGGGACCCAGGCCAGACCCCAGCAATGTTAAAAATGTGGCTGGACTCAGCAGGGGCCAGGGAAGTGGGTGATGGTCCTACTGGAAACCAGATGGCCCACAGAACAAAGATTTTAGCCTTCAGAGGTGTTCATAAAAGTTGATTTCCCATCTTTGTCGAGGCGCAGAAGGTATGATGTCTTCTCCATGTGGAGATCCTGGTTTATGCCTCTGGTCTTTGGGTCTTTGATAGAGACACGTTCAGACCTTCCTCCAGGGACTCATGGTGACAGCCCCATGCTGCCAGGAAGCAGCCTTCCAGCTGATGAGTGAAGAAGAAACCCCACCTCCTGCTTGTTCATGCTTCTCCACACACTGCAGACGGCTCCATGCTCAAGGCAACCGGGGGCTGTGGGCCACATGGCGTTCAGATACTTAGTACTAAAATGTGTTATATTCAGGTGTGTGCATTGGTCCACTCTCAGCAAATGTACACTTAAGATTTGTGCATTGCTTTGTGTGTAAATTTTATATTAAAAACTAAACAAATATTGAACTGTAGTAAATGCTTTTCATGCTCAAGTGTTTGGGGACTACTGATACCTTTAATTTACTTTGAAACATAAAAATAAGATGGAGAGCTTCAAACAAGTGCAATATAATGCAACGATAAGATATTGGTGAATATTTGAGTGTTCACTGTAGAAATCTTTCAACTTTGCAAAAGGTGCCTAAAACTTTCAAGAATAGGATGTTGGAAAAATTGTATTCAATTAAAAAACCACAGAGTGAGTGCATGCTCATTACAAACAAAAGCAGGATACATAAAGTAAAAGGGGAAAGTCCTTTCCTTCTCCCCTCACTGCATCTGACGACCAGGTGCAGGCACCTTGTCTGAGGCCCCAGGGCAAGGGTAAACTTGGTAACATAGATTTGTTCCCATTCAGGGGATGGGGCTGGGTGACACTTCTTAATCCCCTTCCCCCATTCTGTTAGACCCATCTGCCAGCCCGACACCTGTGAGTGAATACAACTGCCCAGGTGCTGGGTTGGCAGGTGGGAGATGGATCTGTAAACTTTCAGAAAGAAAGCCCCCAGGCACATTTTGTTGCCAATGAGGAGGTTGGCAAAAGGGGAAATGACCTTTGATTATTGAAATGTAATGACACCAAAGCTCTCTAAAATGATGGGGTTTCTCCTTGTGGCCTTCCAAGGAGCAAGGGAAGAGGCTGTGGGTACCTGTGGTGGGCATTTGTCGCTGTGTAACACCCTTTTCTTTCCTGTTACCCCAACTCCAATTCTGTCCAAGGGATGGGGAGCCCTGCCCAGGGGTGTGAATCTTGATGGGCATGTGATTCCCATGCCACTTGCCAATGAGACCAGTGGAGGCCTTGGTACCTTTTCTTTCTGGTAAGCGATAGGTCCAAGGAGAGGCCTTTTTTTGTCCCTTTGGCTTAGGATGCTGTCTTGTGAGGATGTGATGGAAAGAGCCATGGCAGCCCAGCAGATGTGAAGTGACAAGCTGGGGACCAAAGGCAACACACTGAGGACGGTAGAATGCAAGAGTGGACACAGCACAGAGATCTTGGCTGACCTCTCCAAGCCACTGAAAAACCCAATATTCAGACCTTGGAGGGCTTGTTATAACTCTGATTGCTGGCATGATGGTTCACTTTATGTGTCAACTTGACTGGGCCATGGGATCCCCAGACCAGGGGTAAAACATTATTTCAGAGAGTGTCCATGGAAGTATTTCTAGAAAGAGGGGACCACATTTGAATTGGTGAACTGAGTAAGGCAGATGGCCCTCCCCAATGTGGGAGGCATCATCCCATCTACTGAGGGTCTTCATAGGATAAAAAGTCAGGGAAGGTGGAACTCACCCTCTCTACAGGCCTGATATGTGGATTTTCTCCTGCCTTTGGACATCTGGGCTCCTGGTCTTCAGGACTTACACCAACCCCCATTGTCCTCCAGTCCAGGCCTTCGGACCTGGAATGAATTACACCCCCTGGCTGTGTCCCTCGTTTGCATGTGGGACTTCTTGACCTCCAAAACCATGTGACCCAGTTCCTATAATAACTCCTTTTATCTCTCTCTCTCTCTATGTCATATTGGTTCTTTTTTCTTTGGAGAATCCTGATGAATACAGCAGGGTCCCATCCCCAGAGTTTTTGATTCAGCAGATCTGGTGTGGGGCCTGAGAATGTGCATTTCCAAAGAATCCCTAGGTGGAGTTGATGCCACTGGCTTGGGGACCCCACTCTGGGACCACTGAATTGAACCATCATTAATTTTTATGGTAGTGGTTGTTACTTGAAGCTAAAAGCAGCCTACTTAATAAAATGGCTTTGCAATTTTTTATTTTTAAATTTTAATTTATTTGTATTTTTTAGGGAACAGATCTCTACGCCTCTCACATTCCTTTAAAGCATTTGAAGAATTCAGAAACGAAAAGCTACAAATCTGCCAGGACCAGATTCTTGGGTCTGAATAGCAACCGAAGGGGAAAGAATCTCAACAAGGCAGAGGAAGATTGTGTCCACTTAGAGGCGGCGTGTTTTCAAGATGCCAATGGTGTGGCAGTCAAGGTAGGAGAAGCAGCCTGCCACGGTGCAGATAACAAGGCAGCGGTACCTGTTGAGAATTTAAATAATAAAACTGACTAGACATTGTGTCTACTTTTATGATTGCTATTGGAGGACAATTCTAAACAATGTCATTGGGGAAGTGCTCCCTCGAGTCCTGGTGTGTTTTGGATTTCTTATGTATGAGCTGTGGAACTGCGTTCCCCTCTGACACACTGTGGCAGGAGAATGAAAGCCCCATTGGGGACCTGCCTGAGTAATTTAGAGGGGACAACGCTGTCCTTGAGGAAAACGAGATATGGGCAGTGGTGGGGCTCAGTTCTCTGTTGGCTGCTTATAGTGAACTTGCTAGGGAACTCTTGCCCTCCTCATTTTAAAATCGCTGTGCTGATGTTGTCCATACCTGGTGACCTCATGGCAAGAACATGGTTTTGGAAGACAGGGCTTTGTTTAACTGCTCAACATTGATAACACCAGCTCATCCATCTTTGCAAATGTACTTTGAAGCCTTTTTCATTCTTCTGCATCATTCCCAGAAAGGACAAAGTTTCCAGCAACTCCATATAATGGAACTTTGCTTACACGTAAGAGCAGTTTGGTGTAGGAAAGATACAGGCTTCAACTTGATGAAGCTCCCTATGGCCAAATCTGAGACAATTTAGCAAGAAAATAAACAATGATAATAATAGATGATGACCCGCAGAATAAACAAATACCCACAAATTCATGCTGAGATAAATAAATGATTGAACAAATAAAGAAACGGGAGAGAAGAGGGTGTTTTCCCTTAGAGCAGAATTCCAGTTATTAAACCTCAAGGGAGTAAGACACATAGAAAACGACTGCTAGGCCTACATCACACTGATTGCTGCAGGGGTGGACCATGGATGGATGCGACAGAAGTGGGCCAGAGGATGATGCAAAACAGGCCATTTGCAAGGTCTCGAGGCTCCTCCCCCAAAGATGTTAATCACAAAGGGAAAAACAGCAACTCCGCAGTACAGAAGCCTGAAGGAGCCGCTTTAGCAAGTGATCAAGGACGACATCGGCAGAAATGGGACGTAACATCATGAACCTCTGCTGTGGCACAGTGGGAAGAGCACAGGTCACCTTTGTGGTATTCTTGTCCCAAAGGCATAACCTCCACCTAACCAGGAGAAAGCATCAGGCAGTCTTCAAAGAAGGGACATTTTGGAGAATAACTGGCCAGTATTCAAGTGTCAAGGTAACGATGGACAAAGACCGAAGAGCCGTCCCAGACTGCAAGGCACTAGGGAGACCTGAAACCAGATGGATATGGCCTCATATGGTCTGTAGATTAGTTAGTAGTCATGAATCAATGTGAATTTCTCAGATTAGATCACTGTATTGTGGTTATAGAAGATGTTAGCTTTTGGGAAAGCTGGGAGCAGGTTAAACAGGTACTATTTTTGCAAACTTTTTATAAGGCTGACATTATTTCAGAATAAAAGGTAAAGAAATAAACAGGTGGACTTTGGAGTCATTCTGCCTCTCTTCAAATCTGGCTACACTACTTGCTAACTGTATGACATTGGGCAAGTTACTTCATTTCTCTCCTCAGTTTCCTTATTTGTAAAATGAGGATAAAAAGAATACCTATCTGGGAGGTCGAGGCAGGTGGATCACTTTAGCCCAGGAGTTTGAGACCAGCCTGGGCAACATGGTGAAACCCCATTTCTACAAAAAGTACAAAAATTAGCGAGGTGTGGTGGTGCTTGCCTGTATTCCCAGCTACTTGGGAGACTGAGGTGGGAGGATCAAATGAGCCCAGAAGGCGGAGGCTGCAGTGAGCAGAGATCACACCACTGTCATGCAGCCTGGGTGACCGAGCGAGACCTTGTCTCAAAAAAAAAAAAAGAAAGTTACCTATCATAGGGGGTTGTAATGAGAGTTAAATGTGTTAATACATGTGCAGTACTTAGAACTCTGCACTTTGGCCCAGCGTAAGGGCTATACTATTATGTGCAGTTATCAGAGGAGACTGGCAGCATCTTCTGATCTTAGGGACATTTACTCTCTCTGTGTGTGTCTCACTGTGCTTCTGGAAAGTTTCTGATGCAGGCCCCTGGGCTGATTCCTTCTCCAATTGATTACTCTGGCCTAAAAGCATTTCCCTTTCTACCAGCAGCCAGATAAAGCCAAATTCAGTGTCAGGATCTGTAGTATTACCTTAACTTAAGTATTACCCACTTAATGGGACTTAAGTATTACCCACTTTTAGAGGAATAAGAATAACTTCTGTCTCACTTAGGGTTTCACCGAGGAGACGTCTGCATTGGAAAGACAGGGTTCATGCCACCAAAGAAGCTTCTGGGGCCAGTTTCCCTTATCCCCATTGCAGGGGGCAGACCTTTTGGGCTTGCAGGACCAACATCCCTGATTGGTTTGGGAGGGGGGTGTGTGTGTGGATCTGCCTCACAATGGCCTGTCTGAGCCCTTATCTGATGTCACACGTTAGCATTTGTTTGGCCAATAAGATGCTAGCACACACACCAGCTTCAGTCTCCACTTGGCCTTACCTTTGACGTCACAATCTGACCTGTGGGTATTAATCTGGTCACAGCTGCTCACGGACCAGATGGCAAGGTCCGGGGACTAGCACAGGAAGATGTGGAAGAGAAGTGGCCATCAACCCAAGATCAAAGCAGAGGATGGACCTCTGGCTGGCCAGTTCGAGGTTCTGGGTTCAGTTCCAGAACCTGCCATGCCACATCCTCTAGAGCTGTCAGAACTCGAGAGCTTCTCGGTGTTTGAGGACATTAGGCTTCACATCAGGGAAGTGGGAGCTCAATTGGTCAAGAAAGTCAATGCCATCTTCCAGCTGGACATCACCAAAGATGGGAAGATCATTCTGCAGTGGACCATTGATCTGAAGAATGGTTCTGGGGACATGTATCCGGGACCTGCCAGGCTCCCAGCAGACACTGTCTTTACAATCCCGGAGCCCGTCTTTATGGAGCTGGTTTTGGGCAAAATGAACCCACAGAAGGCTTTCCTTGCTGGCAAGTTCAAAGTGAGCGGCAAGGTTCTGCTTAGCCAGAAGCTGGAAAGGGTTTTCAAAGACTGGGCTAAATTTTAAGCATGCAAAAATACCAAGGAAGAACCTCTCTTCGATGATAATGTCGAGTGGAAATCATGCTTAATCTGAAGATTAAAGTAAAAAGTATCCAATATTTTTACTCAAATTCTTCCTATTCAAGTTTAATTGATTTTCCTGCAGATGGGTAAATTTTCAGGGAGGGTTCTGAAGCAGTAAAAAGTGTTGCAGTGCATCAATTAGAATCTTTGACTTTTTCTTTCTTTCTTTTTTTTTTTTTTTTTTTAGCTTCATTTATGCCCTTTATGCTCCATTTATGCCAGAGTGAGAGTCACATGTAGAGAAATGGGTGATTATGATCATTGGAATTAAATACTTCAATGATGGTGTTCTTGAGACATTTTCCCCCTTTTAAAAAAAAGTTTAATGTTTTGGGGAAAGAAGTGATAACCATCATTGCGCAGGTGTGCATTCCGCATGGGGTAACTTGATTCCATGAGGAAACTTTACTATGAGATTGCGGGGAGCTAAGCAAATTGAGCACCCCAGGTCTGTGGGTGGAACCCAGGCAACAGAGGGGATGGTGCTCTTGGTGTATTATAACTTCTGATGGTTTCAATTCCAGGAGACTTGAAGGGCTTGGGAGGTGTTCTAGGCCAGTGGTTCTTAACTGGAGCATGCATCAGAATTGCCTGGAAGGTTGGTTAAAGTCTGGATTGATGGGCTCCATCTCAGAGCTTCTACTCAGGAGATCTGGGCTGGAGAGAATGCACATTTTTAACAAGTTCCCAGGTGACGCTGATGGCACCACCCTTAGAGAATTCCAGCTCTGCTTCACTTCATGCCAAAGCCCTCAGTATTGACTCTAACTATTCT